TCTAGTAAACATGAAATGAGATTGGATCAAAATAAATATATTGAATTATTAAGGAAAAAATATAATTTAGAAAAAGGTAAACTGTATAATACACCTATGGAAGTAAATTTAAAAATTGATAAATCTGATCATTGTGAAAGAAATATTAAATATAAAAATTTAATTGGTGCACTATTATACATAAGTTCGGCAACAAGGCCTGATATAAGTTTCAGCGTAAATTATCTGAGTAGATTTCAAAATTGCTATAATGAAACGCACTTTAAATATGCTGTACGAATTTTGAAATATTTATGCTTAACTAAAGATTTAAAATTGTTTTATAACAGAAATGAAAAAGTAAGTATTATTGATTGTTATGTGGATGCCGATTGGGCAGGTGATCATTTAGATAGAAAGTCTACAACTGGTTTTGTAATAAGATTGTTTGGTAATGTAATTTATTGGAAATCTAGAAAACAAAAAAGCGTTACAAAAGCTTCAACTTTTGCAGAGTATGTAGCATTGTCAGAAGCAGTAAGTGAATTGATATTTGTAAAAGAATTGTTGAAAATATTTGATATTGAAATAATAAAGCCAATTGATGTTTATGAAGATAACACTGGTACAATTAGTATAGCTAATTATGGCAATTTTACAAAAAATTCTAAGCATGTTGAAATTCATTATCATTATGTAAATGATTATGTTAAAGCAAATGTTATAAATGTGGTTAAAGTAGATTCTGATGATAATATTGCAGATATTTTTACGAAGTCCTTGGGCCAAGATAAATTTGAAAAATTTCGAAGTATGTTAAATTTGAATTAATGTAAATACAATGTAAATGTAAGGAGGCGTGTTGAGAATGTAATACATTTATATTGTATACACAGATATATTGGTGTAAGAGTAAGCGGAACGCACCCATAGTGTCATGGGTTGACATGACAGACAATAATAGTAATGTCAATGAGTATCATGTAGTTGTAGGTGGTAGTAAGAAGTATGGTGGCTTAAGTTAGGTTAGTTAATTAGTATGTATGTTATAGGAAATAAAGCCTTTTATAATAGTAGTAAAGTACGACTATTTATTTTCCAAATCCACACCTTAACAGAATTGTATTATTTATGGTTGAAAATTGGTACGTTTGAAGAAAAAATAGTATACTACTTGCCCTTTATTACGCGCCTCACTTCGTTCGGCGCGTAATATTGGGCACGTCAAGAAAAGTCATGCTTCTCCGCCTCACAAAGTCTTCTTCTTTAAGTGCCGTCTCCTTTAAGAAGGTTGGCTATCATCACGGCTATCTTCACCTTTGACACTGCTGCTCTAAACAGCTCAACAGAGTTACAATTGTACCACTGCCTCAAATTGTTTAGCCAGGATACACGTCGTCGGCCTATGCTTCTTCTGCCCAGTATCTTTCCCTGTATAATGATCTGCAGCAACTCATATCTCTCACCTCTCATGACATGACCCAGATACTGCAATTTTCTTATTTTAATTGTATTTAATATCTCCTTCTCCTCACAAAGTAATATACTATTATTCTACTAAGAAGTTAGAAAGAAATATAGCAAATCGCAAACTTAATACACAAAAATCAAAAGTCTAATAGTTACAGATTCAGTGGTTGTAATACAAGAAAACAAATCCATTTATAATTTACTACAAATACAGTAATAATGCAGATGTTTTCTTTTACTGACTAGATGTCAAAAAGAGGACATCTAGGGAAATACTTTACCTAGATTATCTTTATCCCGATGGACGCCCAATAACCGAAGCAAAAAAAGGTCTTTTGGAATTACTTTCATTTATACCTCCAATACATCATGGATTTTACAAAAGCACCAGAACAATAGGATTCAATATACAGCAAGAAGAAGAGTTTATTAACAATGAAGATAAAGTATTTTTGTTACTTTGTTTTTTAATAAAGCATATTGTCAACATTTATATTGTTTAATTGTATTGTACTCCAGGTCTAATCCGCATTCCCAGTAGCGCACCTAGAATTTTCCTCTGGGGGGGGGGGTTGGTTAGGCACCGTAATCTTTTTATGCTACCTCCACCATTTTAACTCCTTAAAATTTGTGAATAACCGTGTCGGAATAGGGTCCTGGAGGTGGGGGGTTTAACCCTTAAAATCCCCCTCCCTCGGTGCGCCCCTGCACATTCCTATTAAAATTTTTAAGGGCACACTGATGCAAAAGCGGTCGAATCCACAAAAAAGCTTAAATTTTTATATTTTGGTTAAATATATTGCAAGATCTTCGAGTTTTTTGTTATTAGTTAATGATTTTTAAGCAATGCCTTCTGGCATCATATTTTAATTTTATAAAATTTCAAAAAAACGCATATATTCTTGGTTCATGTAAATCCATTATGCAATATTTGGGCTTAGCCCACTTTTGCTTTCATAGCCTCCAATATGGGCTACCATTTTGTTTATTGCTGATATCTTGATTATGTTTTGATCTAAAAAGTTCAAATTACATAATTGGCATGTAGAATTGTTTTACTCTTTTGTGCTAGTGTGTTTTTCTGCCTAGTAAAATATTTTTTTCTGTAATGTCATAAAAACACTCACGGTGTCATTTAAGTAAGAAATGGAAAGGTGATATGAATATGGGCTACTAGTAATATTTTTATTTTTATTTTATAATTTTGTATGTACAATATTCACACATATATTCGTCTCTTTCTAAACCAGAATAATCTATATGTACCCACAAGTTGGGCATAAGTCACTGAATCCATTTTTCACCTCGATAATTCTCACAAAATTTTCCGTCACAGAAAATACAATTTACATCTGTATTTTCTGGATCCGTTACACCAGGAATTTCTTCCAAATCCTTATCTTCATCAGCTGGTTGAAATTCCTGCTCACTATCGTTGTCAGAAGAACTCTCGATTTTCTTTTTATGCCGTCTCTCTGACTTGTTTTTAATTTTTTTCTCAGTCACCTCCCTTGTGGACTCAGCCGTAATGTGTCATTTTACTGATGTGTCTAATGCTTCTTTGTAAGGTGAAGAAGTTATTACCGTTGATTTCGGTGATTTTCTACCACGATTCGCAGATTTTTTCCTGATCGACGGCACTGGCGATATTTTAAATGGACTTACAAACTTCTACAAACCAGAAGGACCTGGTTGACTGATGTTGTTTGCTTCTAGTGTTTTTGGTAGTATAGCAGATTCAATCGCTTGCGGTTCTACATGGATGTGGTTGTTATTCTTAATTTCTGCTGCAATAAAATCTTCATCTGAGAAAACAAAATTTTCCGTCACAGAAAATACAATTTAGATCTGTATTTTCCGGATCCGTTACACCAGGAATCTCCTCCAAATTCATATCTTTATCAGCTGGTTGAAATTCTTGCTCCCCATCGTTGCCAGAAGAACATCTTCTGACACTTCTCTTCCAATTTTCACATTTGATCGTTTACTGTAGTATATATTTAATATAAATGTTACATCCCTCAGATCCAGATTCTTGTTTTTGAGTACTTCTATAAGTCACTTATGTTTTACCTTATCAAATACCTTGTTAGTCTACAAAGCATACATAAAGATCTCAATTAACACCCAAACATCTTTGGGTCAGCAAAGTCATTCCATTCCGAAATCCAAACTGGGAATCACTAATATCCATTTCCAGCTTAGCGTGTATTCTATTACGGATGATTTTTAGCAGGGTTTTTGTATGTGACATTAGACTAATCGTTCGATAATCAATACATCATTTGGCATAGAGAGTTCTATTTAGTATTGATATGCGTCTTTATACTCTGTCGCTTGTAGTGTTTGTATTTATAGTGAGTTGAGCAGGAATGCTTGAGCTTTTGGTTTATTTAATACCAGAAAGTTTCATATACCTAATTGATAATCCATATTTTTTTGTCTTAGTCTTCGATGGTAAGACTATTCTGTCTGACGCACGGAAATGGATAGCTACCCCATTGAGCAATCTTCGTCTTTTATCTGAACTTAATACCGGAAGGGACACTATAAATTACTTAATCCACCCATAAATACCACAGGCGGAGATGGGAAATAATTTATACAAGTTTATAATGCAACATTTACCATTTTTATTCATAGCTAAAAGTTACAAATACAAATCATATATTGATATTTAACATCCTGAACACTGACATTTGAGACTACGATCGCAATATCCGCTAACATGTCCCTCTGCAACGCATGTTAGACGACATGTTTGATAATCAAATGCTAGTGCGCATGGTCCACGATATGTTCTAGACAAACAGTCGCCTAGAGCATATTCAGTGCTAATAGCAAGAACGAAGAGGAGAGTCAAGAAGTAGAAGGCCTTCATTTTAGTGATTGATCAAAGTAGTACCGCTGCTGTCTAAAAAAAATATATAATTAATTTTTGTAAAAATTCTAATCCACTATATATTGATACTAGTCACACAAATATCGCTGAAATCATACTTGATGAACCCATATTTTCCAAGAGTTTCGATACTAGGATATCAGATCTTATATTTATTGAACAAATTATTACAATAATACCATATAAAGAACAAATAATCTAATACTCCAACGGAGATCAAATATGGTTCACTAATGAATTAAAAATTGTTCATAGAACCCGCTAAAGGCTCTTTAGATAGACAACCAAATTCAGCAAATTCCACAGCTACTACAACACTCTACATTTTTCCAGGCTAAAGTATTTGCACTGATATGTACATGTACCTAATTCATAATCCATATTTCTTTATCTGAGTCATTGATGATGACGATTCTGACCTACGTGACGCTTATTTGGAAGGTGTTGAAGTCGTATTTTTCTTTACAGGAGTGGGAGAGCTATCCCATTAAGCAACCCTCCCCTTCACCCGAGCTTGGGACTGGCAGTGATACCGTGAACTACTTAATCCATCTACGAATACTAAAGGCGAGACTATGAAATAATATATAGATTTTTATACTGCAACATTTATTATTTTTATTCATAGTTAAAAGTCATATATTGATATTTAACATCCTTCACACCAACATTTGAGACTAGGACTACAATGTCCGGTAACACGTCCCTCTTCTCCACATATTCTACGACAAGTTTCATTATCCCATACTGCGCATGGTCCACGGTATTTTCCAGACAAGCAGTCGCCTAGAGCATATTCAGTGCTAATAGCAAGAACGAAGAGGAGAGTCAAGAAGTAGAAGGCTTTCATTTTGGTGGTTGATTAAAACGGTATCTGTTGGCTAAAAAAAAATAATTAGTTATTTTAAAGCTTCTAATCCACTGTATCCATAGGTCACTGGTTCAAATCCGGCTCGAAGGACCACAATGGACAGATTCGATGTAAATATCAGGGTCGAATTGTTTTCTAATGTCCCTTTGTCCGATTCTTCCCGATCAACGATGACAGCTTTATTGACAGCTCCTGATAATTACAATCTAGTTGTTAGTTAGGTAGCTTTCTATCATAGACTGCGCTCAAATGAGCTCAAATCCCTAATTTATAATTTCACAAATAATGTATACCTTAGCACAGAGGTTAATGCTTCTATCATAGCAACAAACACTTAGGAAGTTCAATTTGAAAATATATTATTCGGCAATTTATCAAGTGATGACAAAGAAATTGACAGAATTTCAAAAATAGTAGTGAACCGTACTTCTTCTACAGCACAAGTTGCATCTATCTATGGAATCAGTCAAAAGAGAGTGTTGGCTGAAAACAAATTTCATCCATACAAATTAAAAATAGAATTCTGTGAAAATATGTGCAATAAAATTAACTAACAGCCCTATTTTATAAAAACAATTTGTATTTGTGACGAAAGTACTCTTTTTCTCAATGGAAAAATTTAACACACACAATGTGAGATTTTGGAGTGACACAAATCCTCACGTCTTTCGTGAAACACATACTCAATTTCAAAAAAAAAAATAAATGTTTGGACAGGTATTCTGGGAAACTACATAGTTGGGCCTGTTTTTCTCAATACTAACTTAACCGGTAAAGTGTATCTGGAGATGTTACAACATGCAATTAAATCGTTAATATTTGAAATTCTGGAGGATAATCCAGATGCATTCCGCAACTTGGAAATAATGTTTCAACAAGATGGTGCTCCTGCACACCATTATGGTGCAGTGAGACGTTACCTAGATGAGGAATATCGTGGTAGATGGATTAGACGACGAGGTATGATAGAATTGAGAGCTCGATCACCGGACCTCACATTAGATTTTTTTTGTGGGGATACTTGAAATCTAAAGTTTACGCTACACCATACGACAATTTTAGTATTTATTTAATTTAGTCATCAAAATGAGCTTAAATTCAAACAAAATTATTATGACTAAAGTGGTATTTTCAATACTTTTCAAACGAGGTATCACTTGCCATAAGGTCCCGTTTAAAATTATCTGTCACGTTGGAGCTGTAACGTCATCTGTCACTATTACGTCACCTACTATGACTAGTTAAGAAGTCTGTTTATTGCCTTCCTTCAAATTTCACTATTATAAAAATAACCGTTCAAAAGATACGAGGAGGGGGGGGAACGGGATTTTGACTAGCACTGTACATATAAAAATATATGGATATTTGGGAATATATTTAATAAGAATATATGCGATAAATATCTACGATTTGAACGAGAAGGGCGTAAAGGTTCTATGGATATAAAAATTCTAGAATTAATGGACATTTATATGTAACCATTCTGTGGATACCTTTTTAGACCTATATGAACAAGATAGAGACCGGGTGAAGAACAAGAAAAAGAACAGATTTAATTAATTCAGTTAAAGGGCCCTTGAGAGTACTATACCTCTTGAAACATTGTCTATTGTATTAAAAAGTTTAATTTAATGTAAAAAAATGCAAATTGTTATTTTTTACTGTACGTAGATGATCTACAGTTCGTTTTGTAAATATTTGCTGCAGAATTAGATGCTAAAAATGGATTTTTAAAAGGCCCAAATTTTCAATTACTTACCAACTGAGTTATTGATGCGTAAAGTACTTCTCCATTGCAATTTTTGGTTTATATGCGGTGAATTCTTTACGTCAACCAATTAAAATGGTGATAATTCTTTTATCAAACCAAGACTTTTCTTTATTTATATATTTATGAGCTTTTTGTAAAAATTGGTATCACGGAGTTCCTAAAATATATATTTATCTTCAAGGACATTGGATTCTTGACCGGAGATTTCTGCAAATTTACCTGTTCATTGATTATTATATGTACCGGGTTTCTCGTTATATTTTGACCCCCACTTATTTTCCTTAATTTCGGGAATACAAAAAAAAGTTTCAAATAAAAGTTGTATTATTTTATCTGTACCGACCAACAATGTAGCAACAGATCAAATTTTGTATAGGTACAGGGAGTGCCCAATAAAATGCATCTTCATAATATTTCAAATGGGACACATGTATTTTTTTTTATAGTTTTGAGAGTAGCCCTGTTTATTAGTAGCCAATTATTAATTTATTATAAACTGTCAGTCCTAATACCGAAATGGTACTTAAACTCAGATGAGATGCCTCCAGGTCCCGGTGCTTTTTTATTTTTGATCGCTTTTATGGCCGTTCTCATTTCCCTATCTGTTATTTCTATTTCTTGTTATGGGGATCTGCTTCATCTTCGCCTGTTTTCTTTTCAATGAATTATGGTCTTTGTTCTGTTAACAGTTCCTTGTATTAGTCCTTCCATTATTTGTCCTATATATTTCCCAATTTAATTTTTTCTTTTGAGTTTTGTTTCAATCCTCTCGGTACTTTCTATAACTCCGAAGTTCTTGTACCTCCTATGTATGTTTCAATATTTAAGCAGGTTTTTTCCCATTCTTCATTCTTTTGTTGTTATTTGTTTTTTTTACTTCTCTATCTTTTTTGCTATATTCTTTATAATTTTTAATTTGTTAATTTAATTTTCTTTATAATTTGTTTTTTTTCTTCAATTATTCTTTTTGTTGGTTCATTTATTTCATAATTGTACTGTTTATTTGTTATATGTTCTTTCTCTCCAAGGGCTTCGAATGCTGCTTGCTTTATACTCGCCTTTAAAAAAAACTCTGCCTGTATTGGTGTGGGGTGAATTGTTGAATAGCTCTATAACCGATGCAGCCGGTCCGGATAAAAGAGGACGGGACAGAGGACAGAGGAGTAACACCTCTAAAAAAAAACGGGGTCCAGCTGATCCGGCTGATAGCACCCTGTAAGGGCCCCTGACTGGGCTACAGGTGGAAACCGGTCAACGGTCTCAAGAGCAGAGGTTGGCTGGAAAAGTTACAATGGTTGAGAGGGTGGAAGAACCAACAGTGTCTGATGAAAGAAAGAAAGAAAGAAAGAAAGAATGAAAGAAGAAAATGTCCTCCAAACGGGGGTTGTGGTGTTAGGAATTAGCCTAACCTAACCTAACACACAGAAAAACGTAAGGGTAAAAAGAATGAAAATGGCAAGATGAAAAAGCCAATGGGGGAGGGGACAATGTTGCGAAGAGTTCGGAAAATCCAGTCTTATCAAAGCTCAACAAAAAAAATTAATAACCCACCTTGAAATCGAAACAATAAAATAACCGCGTTTTCAACTGAAATTGTAGTTAATTTCAGTTGAATTACAATAACAAAAAATACTAATATGAAATTAGAGTAGTAGATTAATGAAAAATAGAGCAGCGGATTAGTCAACAAATGCATAATCTCTGGAATAAAGAAGACGAAGAAGAAGTAATCTAACTGTGTCAAATGATTTTTAATGTGGAAAACGTCATGTACAATTCTGAATATAACTTTATTTTACCAATTTTGCAACCATTTAATTATTTTTGCAGACTATAAGCTTTAATGAAAACCTTATCTGATCAATTATGTAATGTACCTACCTACTCACATGTAAGATAATTAAAGTATCTATGTATTTCTATATAGTTTTTTAGTCACCTGGTATATGTTATTTACAATTATGAAAAGTTCTCATGTATAATCACTAATAATTATTTGCTGTTAGAAATCAGAATCAATACTCTTCATAAATATTTTCCTATTTAGAATAAATAAGTTTCGCTAGTTTATTCGCCTAATACTTCGTATCTATGGAATAATAATAATTTATTTCTCTTATTTCTTTGTTCGATAAGCTATCCGTATTTGCTATTTTAATATTAATATTTGAGTCCAATCTCTTGTACTCAAATCCATCCAGAAACATCGTTAAATAATTGTAGATAACAGAACTTATAAATTCATAGTTTTAAGAAATAACAGGCAGTGTAATTTTCATCCTCTAATATAATAAATTTATACATGTCAATATATTCTGTTTAATTCCAAAACAAAGAGTTAGTCCGGAGAAGAAATAAACGCATAGTATTCCATAACAAAATTTGGTGTCAGAACGTGGGATATTAGTAGCAGAGTTCCTCTGATTGCTGATAGAAGGAGAGCTGAGGAATTTTTGAATTGACTTGTTTCCTTCGAGGAATCATTCAAAAAAACTGTCAGTGTGGAAAAATCGCCACTACAACTAATTACATTGGGGTCCAGTACATCCAGTTCGAAATCCAGTTCCAGTCATAACCCAATTGTAGTTCCATCGGAAGTAGAGGTGAACCCGTGGAATAATAGACTATGCGACCAACAACAATATTCTACTTGTAAGTACATTCTATCTTAAATTCTGTCTCATATTTTAAAAATCTTGTAAACGTATGTCTACTTTATATCCTGATATAAGTAACTTATTTGACGAACAAATACCTTCTCCCGACTCAAATTCTCTTTCAAATTCTTCTACTTCTAATTCAAATAAAATGTCAGTATCAATTGAAATAGCTGAAAAACTTCTCATTCGATTTGATGGTACAAAATCAAAATTATACGAATTCATAGACAATTGTGATAAAGCATACAATTTAGTAAATCCGCAATCCAAACCCATCTTATTAGCCATTATAGAAACTAAATTAACCGATAAAGCTAGGGCCATAACTAGAAACAGAACATTTGACGAATGGAAAGATTTAAAAGACTTCTTATTAGATGCTTATTCTGAACGCCGAACTGAAGGTCAGTGGCAATTGGAATTACATTCCTTACGTCAGATGCCCAGTGAAAATGTAATGTCATTTGCAAATAAAGTTGAAAATTGCTATATAAAATTAATAAATACACTTGATCCAGACTTATCTCCAGATGCAAGAAATGCATGTA